TCAATAAAATTTTTCAAATGTTCAGAATCATGCGAAGCAGGATTATTGATTATTAAAATTCTATAATGGATCAAATTACTTTGAAAATCAAATTTTTATTTCTATTTTCTGAAAATTTGTTCTTACTTGAAGATTTATGCAAAAAAATTTTCCGAGCCTTAGGATTTCCAATTGCCGAATTGAAAGTGTAGCAGTATATTGGAGTTCTTCCTGTTATTCCATGCTGAGGTGCAGGAAATAATCTCTTCTCTGGTTTGAAAAAGCTAAATATACACAATGAAAATTATTATCTTGAAGCAGACTGGTCAATAGTGATTCAAGTAAAATAAAATAGCCCTCGAATCGTGCATCTTCGTCAAAAGTGAGGCTAACTATTACACATATTTGGGGGGGGGTGTTATTTAATATGTAAGCGAGGAAGAAAAAAATATCGAATTCTGAGCATTTCCTGCTGATAAAATCGAGTTCACAAAGCAGCAAAACCTGTTTGATTGAAAGTTTAAACTTTACGGTAATTTTAATTACCAGCTTTTAAATTTTGTCTCATTCCTTTGGCGCCAGAGCTTCGAAAAATAATGATAACAGAGGTCTCTTATCCAAACAGATTTTGTTGCTTTGTACACTCACTGCTTTGTACACTTTATATATATATTTATATATATATTTATATATATGTGTATTTATATATATATTTATGTATATATTTATATATGCTGTTGACTTCCACCGATGAATGTCGACTATCATATAGTCTCTTTGGTAAATATCCGAAATATATACTAAGTCTAGTTAAGTGCCACTGCCGATATACATTTGCCCTACACTGATGTTTTTCTAAGGTTCAGTTCCAATGCCCAGTACACATTTGCCCGGTACTATATATATATAAAATTTATTCGTCATTATTTATACATTTTCATTCATTTAATTTTAAAATATTACTTTTTTCTAATAATAATGCTCTACATTTACTTCATATACGTATTTCTTAGTACTACTTAATACATTTGATTTTTCTTTAAAATAAATTGTGTAAATATTGGTCAATGAATTAGAAATGATAGATTAATATTTCATTAAAGCTCGCTTTGTACGAATGGCAACCCGTATTTATGAGTACATCGATTCTACAAACTTCTGAACTATATTTATTTCTAGAGAATGCTATGCGTTAGCTACGCAGACTTTAGTATCCTGTAAATTAGAGGGAAAAGAGATTGCTGTCGGATGTGCCTTTCCAAATGTTTAAAGCATTTTCTATTGTGTTAAGATCCAGGATTTGATGTGGCCAGGGATGATTTTGTAGGTCATATTGATGTTTATTAAACCCAATTTCAATGTTGATGGTGGCACGTCCCTTTTTGGGAATAAAAGTAAAACATGTCGCAGGATGCATTTCATCTGCCAATCTGTCCATTGAGTTACTGTATTGTTTTCTGTCTACTATGAGAAACAAGGTTCATACTAGCAGAACTTTCACCTCATTATGATGCTCCCATCAGATGACCATTGCACTGGTCAAACAAGGCAATATGGAGTCATAACTTTGTGGTACTTTTAACAAATTCCCCGTCTTTCCTCAATGCAAAACAAGGTGAATATGTTTCGATTGTTTTCAGACGTGCAGTGCCGCCTTTCCTAAAAACACAACAAACGAATTCTGGCATTTCGAGCAAAAATAAGGGGTCTCCTCACAGACTTTCAACTATATATTCCCATCCTCAACAATTCTTTGGTTATGGTTTGTCCCGAAATCGGCTGGGAGGAGTTGAAAGTTTTTGTCATTTGAAATACAGTAGAGTTCCATTTATGCATAAAATTTATTGGGGATTATTTCGATCACGATTTTTAATTGTGTTCGAGCTGAACCATGGTTGCATTTTCTAGACAATGACTATGGGTTCTATTTCCAACTCTTGAAAATCTTCGATATGGCTGTTTTTTAGAACCCAATGAGTTATGTTGTCATCACAATCGCAAATCTTGCTAAACGAGCGTCAACAATAAGCCTTTTTTCTAACGAGAATTCCTATTCTACTGCGTTTATCGTGAATTTCTAGTATTCACTTATCGTTAATGTCTTACCACTAGCATTCTGATGAAGTTTTACTCACG